AGGTACACAGTTCAGCAGCAGCCCACGATCTGCCAACTGGTGAGTGGCTGGGCCACAAACTCCATTGAAAGCACATACTGGATCCTTGTTTAGCACATTAACTGATTATTAGGAACCCAAGACTCAATGTATTCCTAGAAGATCCCCTGAGAAAGCTTGTCATCAAGCGGCTTTCCTGAGAGTAAGAAATTTGGGGGCAGGCAGGTGCAGTGTAGAGAAGAAACTATTTTGTTCCCTCAATATCTGCCAGATCACTCTTGGAAAGGTGTTCTAGAGCAAGAATCATAAAATTGTAACCTTAACACCAGTAAAATATAAACATCAGCCCACCAAACTTTCACCACTTAATTCAAAGTTGGATAAAAATTTTTTTTAAAAAAAAGCAAAGAGATTTGGGAACATTTAGGAGGTTTTGAGAATTTGAAGGAAAAAAATGCAGCAATAGAATGCAGCACAAATCCTCTGAAGCCTGAGGCACATCAGCCCACAGGCCCACCAGGGCTCTGCCACCCTTCTGTCCCTGGACCTCCATTGTGAGGCTGAGAGGCCCTTTGGCCTCCATCTGCCTTCATCTGGGCGGACAGATGCCTTTGGCCTTGTACCCCCGGGAACAACAGGGCAATGGAAGTGCAGATGTTTCTGCAAACAGCGGATCTCACAACTGGAGGGACACACCCCCATCCCCAACCAACCTCTAAAGGCCAGAGCTGAAGAAGTAGGTTCTGGGGGCCCACAACACCTCGAGGTCTGCAGTGTGCTGCGGAACCCCGGGGACTGGGAGTGCGGAGAGAGGTAGCCGCGGGGCTGGCGAGTGAGCAGCCGCAGTTGGACATAAATGACCTTTTTCACAATCAGCTTAATTGGCAGGGATACGGCGGGAGCAGACAGCCTGGAGTTCCAGCGCTCAGAACCAGCCTGTACCCCAGGGTCAAAACCCCCTGCCTCTTCGCTCTCACGGGTGTGTTCACTGGAGTCCCAGGTGGCCAAGTTGAGGAGGAAGACTGCTGGAGCTCTCCGTCAGCCCAGTCTCACCTGTTTGTGAGGCTCACGGCCTCGGGTCGCGCTGCCCCCCACCGCTAGTGCTCAGCAAGGATAAGCCCTTCGCCTGGTTCAGTCCTGCTTCCCTTGGGTCACACCAGGGGTGGCACCAGGGTCCGGGAAGCTTTTCTCCCAGTTGCGCCGCTGGCATTCCAGGTGCGTGCGCGCTGAGTAAGGGATTCCCTGAGCGCTGGTCACCCCAACCGTGGCTCTGCTAAGGAGAGAAGTGCGCTGCGTTGGGCTTTCAGCCGGCCTGCCTACAGTCTACACTACAGTAAATGGGCCGCACTGGGGGCTTCCCGGTTATCTATCCGCGGCCATCCGTTCCCTGTAGTAGTAGCCACCAACCCTACCCAGCATTGCGCTTTGCCTGATTTGGGGGTAACTTCAAGCCCCCAAAGACTCCCGGAAAAAATGCGAGGGGCACCCGCGGGTGGAAAGAAGATTCAACGCCCCTTTCTCCAGGAGAGCGCCCCCGCAAAGCCCAGCCCTGGGATGCTTTGCAGCCTGCCCTGAGGAACGCACAACGGTGTCACCTGAGTCCAAACAGCGAGGCGTTTTTGTGGAAAGCACAGAAGCTTGTTTATAACTACAGGAACCATAGAAGGAATGAGACGAGTGCTACAACGAGCCTTTAAAAGAAATCTAAGAGCAGCCAGGGAAACCAGGAGGCCAGGACCAGCTAGTTGGGGCACGCGGCTGCAGAGCGTCCGCAGAGACTTCAGCTCTGAGAGGGGGCGCGCGTCGGGAATGGGCTGGGCTACAAGTTCTTTCGGCTTCGGCGCGCTTCAGACCTAGGCGCTGGTCGTGCGCCCCGGCCGAGAGCCCAGCGCCGGAGAAGTAGAAGTAAGGGGGAGCGGCAGGCAGTTTAACAGCACCTGTTAGAGGGGGCACATGAGAGCGGCGAGCTCAGACATCCCCTGGCCCAAAGTCCTCCCTCCCCTGGAACCTTTATTCTAGGTGCCCCATCTTACCGCGACCGCTCGGCGCAACACGAGTGAGACCACTCGCGCGCGACCTCCCAGCCTCAGCGCCCTCTGGGGCCGCCGAGGACAGCGGAGATCAACGGGGATAGGGCCAGGGGCCCCCGGATGCGCTCCTGCTCACCTCGCTCACTGGCCTGTATGTAGCGCACGATGTCCTCCAGATCCAACTCTTTGGTGTCGTCGAAACTGTAGGTGGACGTGTGCAACCCCTCCTCCTGGAAAACCCCGTGGACCCCCTCAAGAGTGAAGTAGCAGTTGCGCTCCAGTTTGTCGTCGCTGTAGACCAACGCGGCGCGGCTCCATTGGTGGTGGCGGAACAGGGCGAGCATCATCTCGCCCATCTTGGCGTAGGCAGGCGCCACGCGCGTAAGGTGCGAGTACTCAGTGTCCTTGTGCCTGAAGCCGGCGGCCAGGGCTCCCGCCGACAGCATGGGCAGATAACCCCGTGGACCCTAAAGAGTGAAGTAGCAGTTGCGCTCCAGTTTGTCGTCGCTGTAGACCAACGCGGCGCGGCTCCATTGGTGGTGGCGGAACAGGGCGAGCATCATCTCGCCCATCTTGGCGTAGGCAGGCGCCACGCGCGTATAGTGCGAGTACTCAGTGTCCTTGTGCCTGAAGCCGGCGGCCAGGGCTCCCGCCGACAGCATGGGCAGATCCCAATGCGACG